GCCTGACTGCTTTGACCTTCTTTCTTTTGTGTCTGGCTGGCTTCTGTGCAGTGACAGATGCAGACCCTTCTTTTTGGATTCGCAAGTCCATTTGATATATAATACTACTAGTAACAAGTGCGTAGCAAGAAGCTAGTAGTAACAAGTGCCACGCTAGTAGTAACAGGTGCCTTACTAGTAGTAACAAGAAGCTATTGGCTTTGCTTCTCTTCGAAGTGACCGGACGCCACCGATTCCACCGGAGGCCACGCGTGGAACTGAGGCCGAAAGCGGTGCAACCACGACTCTATTCGTCGGTGGTCAGGCCGAAAGCGGTGCCACGGGTGCCACGCCATGTCGCTGCGTGGGTGCGTTGGACGGTTTTGGGAAAGAGCTGATTGGTTGGACTGACAGAAAACTGGTTGGACTCCGAGGAAGACTGGAGACCCGCTGCTGGGGTCAATCTCTTGAGCAAACAAGGCTTTTGGGGTGCTTTAGGAGGTGTTGGCAATGAATCTCACAATGAATCTCACAATGCTTTGTGTGAGTTTATTCATGTGTGATTGATAGCAATGGGCTGCAGCTCAGTTTGTTCCAGTTTGCTTTGGTTTGCCTTTAGATCAACATAGAACCCACTGGAAGCCTGTCTATCCAGAATGTGTGTCGTTTCTTTTTTGATGTGCTATATTTTGCAATTTATCTAATGTGTGGCATTGCCAAGTCAAAAGACAAAGACATGTTGAGGGGCCGGTGGCTCGTGCCAGGTATCGAAAGACCTTGGCTCGTGCCAGCATGGCCCATGGAGATGCCCGGGAACTGGCCATGCAATTGGGTTCCTCGGAGCGAAGAGTGCAGAGTTGAACGGGAGACGTGGATTGCTTTTGGGCATTGAGCTGAGAAGCGTTCGTTGATAGACCTCAGGACACTTGGCGCCACAGCCCCTGGGTCTGCAAGTATGGAGGCAGTGACACAGTCAGACTCTATATGTCTTTTGGGCTCCATCGGAACTCTAGCTTTGATGAATTTGGATGAATGTTACCTTCATATGTCATGGATTGTAATGGTCTCCAACCTACTCACTAGCAATGGCCTCCCTCAATGGCATGCTGCCTAGTCATGTGCTCCCCCTCACGGCCTGAGGTCTTCTGAGATCGAGTCTTGGCCCAGACAGTCCGCGCTTCCGAGAGGTCTCACGGTGGAGCTAAGGGGCATCAGGAAGGCTCTGTGCTATCTTCCCAGGCCCCATGGGGCCCCTGGGGTGGGTAGTTGCTTTCAGGTAACGGCTTCTCTTCTTTTTTTTCTCCCATCTTTACAGATGTCGACATCTCTTTGATTTGGTGGAGAATTCGGCTTCCCGAGTTTGACATGGCACCTAAGGAGATGAGCAATGTAACTCCAGAGCCCAAAAGACAGGAGCTCAGTGCCCCACGCGAAGACGAAGGCCGATCCTCTGGCTCAGCAGGCGGAACTCTTTGGGCGTCGGAACTCACTGGGCTTCGTGGCACCGAGCGTGCAGGTCCGAAGCCGGAAGCTGCGCAAGAAACTCCGCCGCACGAGCCTCAAGCGACGTTTGCCCGGCGTGTCTTCACGGTTTGAACACCAGAAACACTTGGATTCGCACGAAGACACTACATATATTTGTGTGATGTGTTGAGATCTGCCCACACTCGTACGGTCATCGAAATTCTATGAATTTCTTGGCTCAACATCCCAAGCTTGTCCTGCTTCCAATGGCCTCCCAAGGAGGCTGCAATTTTCCCGGACAGCCCATTGCTGAAGCCACATCTCCTGGCGAGCTGCTCCGAGATGAATCAGTACCTCGATCAGTGTCTGGAAGACCGCAGGTGGTCGCTTCTCCAAAGGCGGCTGAGAAGGTGCCGCTTCCAGGCACACCTTCGCCTCAAGGCAGTGCAGTACTAACTAGCTCCTTGAGAATGGCATCTCGCAGGCCGCCTCCTTTGACTTCCGGGTTTGAACACTCACCCGTTCCAGGCGCAGCTTCGCCTGCTTCACCTGCCTCACCCAAGGGTGGTGCACGAACTACCTCCTTGAGAATCTTCCGTCAGAAGCCGTTGAGATGTAGCATAGAAGAAGCTTGTAGAGGTGAAGTGGAGGACATGGGTGAAGCAAAGCTCTGCCTTCCCACGGTGCGGAGCACCCTCCTTTCTGCGCTACTGGTCAGTGGCATGATATTCATTGGCCTTGTTGCACTTAGCGCATCCGAAGTCGGAATTTTTGGTCAGAAAATGGGTTGGTTGACGCTGTTGCTGAGATTGGTGGGGTGGCTCTTCTTATTCTACATCCCGATCCACTTCATCTCGATGCCATTCACTCGGAACTTTGTTCTCTGGTCTCTTCAACCGGGAGAGAAGTTGACCAGGGCACGTAGCTACGTGGAGACGCCAAACTTGTCGGCGAGGCGGGCAAACTGCTTGCCCTATGTGATACACACAGCCTGGATTTCTGCATATACGCTTCTTGTTTGTGTCCACATTGGTGAGAAGGAACACTTTGGGTTTATTCCCATCTACGGCTTGGGGAACCTTCTAATGATGCCCATTGGAATCGTGACCACTTTGCTTCTGGCACCGCCCACCGTAAGCAGAAGGTATGCATTTAGCATCGGCCCGGCCACGCTGTTATTGCCGATCTTGGGATTTTTGATCGTGGTGACCAGCTACTCTCTGCTGCGAAGGAGTCTGGGGCCCCAACTGGGCTTGGTGATTCCTCTCATCTTGAGTTTCTATGAGCTCCTTGGAACCTCTCTTGTCTCACGGATCTTCACGAAGCAGTTTGTGATCCAGCCTGAGGTGCGAGAGGGCTACACGGGGACGAATCAAGGCATAGTCGTGTCTATGGCCATTTGCAACCTGCATGCCATGGCTGAAGGAGATGGCTGGTGGAGGGGGAAGTATTGGGTCTGGTGGAAGAGAACCCGCAGAAACCCCGCGAGCGCAGAAACCCCGCGAGCCAAACCTTCCGTGGTCCCCAAAGCTTCATGGGTCCCACACAAGCTATTCACTTTTGAAGGGGCTCTAGGTATAGAACCTTCGCCTGGGTAGACAAAAGGACAAGCATGGATCTTTACCTGCAAAAACCAGCCTCCTGATACGGTCGGACTTGTGACTAGGCATCGGAATGTTTGTCTTATTACACATCTCCTGCTTCGTGATGCTGCGATGCTCGTAGCAGCAGAAGCATCCGTGTGTTGTGACCGATCGGAGGTGGGACTGCGCCAGGAGCACGGCTGACCTTGCTGTATGTGGACCACGTGCAGAACCAGGATCTCACGATCCTGATGCCTATCATCAGTGGAGTCTTATGGAATGTGATGGCCCGTTTGGGGGGGATTGGATCGTCTTCTGCATATCATCACTCGTGGATGGCGAAGGCCCAACAACAGCAGCAAACTACTGCGAGAGTCCGGCTATTGTGTGGGATACTTGCGCTTCGGGGCGGTTGGTGCCATGTTGCTTGCTCGCCTTTGCAACGGAGTTCCAGTGCCTCTCAATGGACCAGAGATGATTATTGTGCTCAGCGTGCTGCTGGCAGAAGCGGTAGAGGATTTGCTGAGCTATGCTTTGTGGTACATTGGTGTTGACTTTTCTCCACCATCTTTGCTGGTGACTGAGCAGGAGGTTGAAGCCATGGCCACGACGCGGCTCAGCAAGCGCAAGGGTTCCAAGGAGCCGACACGACGATCCTCCTCGAAGGAGTCGAGCAGCTCGGTGGTACCAACTCTGCCAACACCAACACCAACACCAGCATCCCTACCTCATTCCGCACGCGGAAGGACGGCCCCGTTGCCTGACCCGCACGGTGGGCCTCCACCGCGGCCTCTGTCTCCAAGCTCCCCGAAGTCGCCGAAGCCAGATCGCACTTTGATGAAGAGCACCTGTTGGAGCACACGAGTGGCCTATGACTTTCGCTTTCGGATCGAAGAGTTTGAGAAGATGCCATTCTGGGGGGCACTTGTTGCCAGCTGCCATGGCACAGTTTCACACCATTTTTGCCATGATCATTTTCTCCCAAGGTTTGGATCACATGCTGGGGTTCTGCACAGAGGCGGACTCCGGCTTTACTTACGACTCAGCCATTTTCTGGTGGCCTATCCAATATCCGAAGTGCTGATGCTTTTCTTTTTTTTGGAACATGTTTGGGAGGCTTCTATTGTGTACAGCTTGATGAAGCTGGGCGACGTGGACGAAGAATCTCTGAATTTCCTTTTATCACATCTGAATGTCATTGGTCTCTTACATGTCTCACTGCAGTGTTGCTGCGCGTTTGAAACAGTGGGTATAAGTATTGAATAGTATTGACAGAAAGGTCGTCCTGCCATCTGAGATTTCTTGCATGTTGGTATGAGAGCACCGCACACGAGACAGACATTTGGGACCATGTAAAGAGCTTTGCCACCTTGCAAGCCAAAAAATGGGCTGCCTTCAGCTGCGGAGCCTTTTGGACGCTTCCGAAACCCTGATCAGATCGAGTCATGTTCCCTTAAAACACACAAGACACCACGCCAGCAGATGATGATCTGCAGATCCAGTCATGTTCCCTAACCGAACAAAGACACCAAACACCAGATGATTCGGCTTGCCTCTGGCTTTGTGCAGGGACGCTGAAAGAGCTGACAGTGACAGCGAAGTGGTTGACCTGCGAGACCTCCGCGATGCCTGAGACGCCCCGAGGGCTCCCGGCCGGTCTGCGCGCGGAACGGTTTGTTCACCGGGACGGCTGCTGGACACGTGTCGGGGGAAGACTCCTCTCTCTTCCAGGACGGTTCTGACGGTCGGAGGGTCTGATTGGTCTCTTCCATCTGGACAAGTTCACTGAAGGTCAAAGGATCAGAACCTTCAGAGGCTGGCCATGAGATGGTTTAAAAAGGATGCTATGACCTGCAGGTGATTGGGATCACCTTTTTGTATTCTCTAAGCTTTGTGGATGTGGCCGAAGGCTAGCATGCCTTGTTACATTGCCAAATAATTTGTCTTGATCTGCATGATGCTCATCGCCTTCTCAGTTCAAGCTTCTACAAAGTAGGTCCGGCAGGTGCGCGGCATCTCGCCGTGTTCCACAGGGCTGTAGGCGAGATGATGGTGGTCACCTTATCTCCCTCTTTGCGCATGTGCAGATGGAATTCTCCAGAATCCCAGAATCCACTTATCCATCCTTAATGAGACTTCTTGGCCTTTGGTCGTTTTCAATTTCTCAAACACCTTTGTCTTGTTTTTCTTACACACTTTTGTCTCACCGAGGGCCTTGGCCTCATCCGCACCCCAAGGTCACGGGGGGCCTCGGTGGCCTTGGCCTCATCGCCTCCTTCCACTGTGCCGGGGCCTCGACCAAACTGGCCGGTGGAACTGACCGAACCGCCGCGGTCGACCGCGTTGGCCGAACACCGCAGTGAGGCCGCGGAGTTTGACAACCCCATCATCACCACCTCCAGAAGTGGCAGATTAGGCAGTGGTGGGCGTGGCACTGAGCTGGGCGTGGCACTTGCGAATTCCGAAAACCACTGATCGAGATCCACAAGATCCACAAGATCCCTCCAACTTGAGGGAGACAGAAGATGCAGTTGAGTAGCATTTGCCTCGATCCCACCACTCGATCTTAGGGCCTCTGCGATGAACATGTTCGAAGCCTTGAAAGAGATGGTGCCGGTCTACAACGTCAGGCCTGGTTCACGAGCTTGGTCAAAGCACGAATGGAGAACCAATGACTTCGATCCAAAGGGAGCAGAAGACCCAGAGCCTGTTGACTGTTGCCCATGTTGTTCAGGCTCAATGTAGCAAATGCTCAAGACACGTCAGATGTATTCGCTTGGGTCAGCAGACCTGGTATGCCTCCTGAGGACCCGCCTTGTGATCATCGAACACTGTATATAACATCTCTCTCTCTCTCTCTGTCTCTCTCTCTCTATATGTATAAGGCCTTTTGACAATTTTCAGGTGCAGTATATAAAGAAACTGTTCCTGTGCTGTAGTCATTGCAGTCTCGAAAAAAAACCTGTCTACCCAGTTTTTTGGATTTGTGATTCACATGTTTTGGTGGAGAGAGCGTTTCAGACTTGGCAGGATAGCAAGATCCTCATTGATGAAGTTGTGTATCAGGCACTGACTTCGGTTGAAGAGCTGTCCTGCCTGTGAGTGAAAGTTTACGTTTTCTTCTGGCATGGTGAAATTTCAAGATTTGGAGGCCTCCAGCTAGAGTAGATTCCCCAGAGTTTCTTAGTTCAGGTTTCAACCTGCGTATAAGACATTCTTGGGGGAACACCCAACAAATCTCACTGAGTGGCAGAGCTGAATTTGATGGTCCATCCGGTGTTTTCGGAGCCTTGGCGGCCTTTACTCCCCCCGACATTCGCAGGTGAAGTACAAGATCCATTCACTGCCCGACGAGGCGCTACGAAGAATCCAAGAGTGCCTCGGAAGTGTGGGTGAGCCGGTGTGGCGTCGAGCCGCATATGTCGGGCCGGTGCCAGTGAGTGAGCCGGCCGTCGGATCTGGTTCCACCGTTTTCTATAATTGTCTGGGTGTGGAGAAACATGCTTGTCACACTGCTATCTTAGGTTTTTGCTGGAAGTGAAGGATAAGCTGCAGCAAATCATGATGGACATGCGTTCAGAGACGAAGACAGATCAGTAGCGGGCCTAATGTTTCATTTCTGAGAGCATATGTATTTGTCCGATGCAGTGATGCGGAGAAGTTCCAAGAGGGGTAAGCAACCCCGAATGCTTGCAAATGCAGCAGCTTTTCAAGCCTGAAAAGTTCAGGTTCCAGCAACGAGATGGATAGAATCGGCTAGAATATCTAGAATCCTTTCTATTCTACAGGATCTGAGCAGCTCGAAGCGATGGCCTTCAACCTAATAGCGATGGCCTCCAACCTAAGAGCGATGGCCTCCAACCAGAATCCTTTCTATTCTTCAGGATCTGAGTAGCTCGAATCAAAGTACTTTGCACAACTGAGGGCAACCATGGCGGACCTTGCTGACAAGGATGCTGCGGTCACCAATGCCATCGCTTTGATCCAATCAAAGGTGGCAGCTTTATTGTTATTTTTTCGTTGGACTCGTTTCCACCCGCAATGCACCAACAAAAAACGCCGACTTCTTTGGAGTCCGCTTTGACCTTCTTCCAGTGGACGCCAAGCCGCTCGTCCGCTCCACACAGCGCCCACAACGCCGGTGAGGTGGGTGCGGTGCCGCGCACCTGCCGACTGCTGGGTGGCCTGCAGACGGTGGGCTACACGGCCTGGTGACCCGAAGGACCCGGTGGCGCGGTGGCTTTGACCGGGCAGACCCATGAGCTCAAAGAGATGAGATGGGCAGGTTTGAGTGAATTGATTGACTCGTTTTGGCTGGGCCGCTTTGCCTCCTTTTGGTGGCCTTTTGGGGATTCCAGGCAGACGCATGTTGCGAAGCAAGTGCTTCCTGAGGTGCCTGACGGGGGCTCGATGTGGGTGTCTTAGATGAGCAGCGCCGCTGTACATATGTGACATGTGTGTCTCTGTGTGTGTGCCTGGAAGACAGTGCTGTGCTGTTGGAGACTTATGGACAGTTCACCGCTAATAGGTTGGAGGCCATCGCTAGTAGGTTGGAGGCCATTGCTCTTAGGTTGGAGGCCATCACTATTTGGTTGGAGGCCATCGCTATTAGGTTGGAGGCCATCACTATTAGGTTGGAGGCCATCTATTAGGTTGGAGGCCATGGCTCTTAGGTTGGAGGCCAGGCCATCGCTTTGAGGTTGGAGGCCATCGCTCTTAGGTTGAAGGCATTTGCTATTAGGTTGGAGGCCATCGCTTGGAGGCCATCGCTATTAGGTTGGAGGCCATCGCTATTAGGTTGGAGGCCATCGCTACTAGGTTGGAGGCCATCGCTATTAGGTTGGAGGCCATCGCTATTAGGTTGGAGGCCATCACTATTAGTTTGGAGGCCATGGCTCTTAGGTTGGAGGCCAGGCCATCGCTTTGAGGTTGGAGGCCATCACTCTTAGGTTGAAGGCCATTGCTATTAGGTTGGAAGCCATCGCTCTTAGGTTGGAGGCCCTCGCTATTAGGTTGGAGGCCATCGCTATTAGGTTGGAGGCCATCGCTCTTAGGTTCGAGACCATCGCTATTAGGTTGGAGGCCATCGCTCTTAGGTTGGAGGCCATCGCTATTAGGTTGGAGGCCATGGTTTTAGGTTGGAGGCCATCGCTCTTAGGTTGGAGGCCATCGCTCTTAGGTTGAAGGCCATTGCTATTAGGGTGGAAGCCATCGCTCTTAGGTTGGAGGCCATCGCTATTAGGTTGGAGGCCAT